ATAGTTAAATAATGATATATAAAATTATTATTATTTATTTCTGATTAGTGCCACTGCTGCTTGAAGTTCAGCTGCAGATGCCCTCTAATCCATCAGGAACATACTGTTTATGAGTCAATCTTCTCTATCTCCAATAACTCAGGAGAATCCACACTCCAGTCTTCTGGTAGTAGTGCCTTCCCTAGACCAGTGCTACCTAGAATTGTACACAATGAACATGTCTTGATCCATTCATTCGTTGATCTCACAAATTGAAAATCCACCCCTTGTGTCTTAAAACACAGTCTCATTCAAATTGGGTTACTTGTTGATTTGATAATAATAATAAAAGAGAGAGAGAGCAAAGAACCATTTAGCTGTAAACATTACGAGTCTTCGAATCTTGTACGCGATTGTAAGTTATCCTTGTTTATTCCTAGTTACTTTAGGATACCCATTTTGTATTATCTCCGAGAAAGAGAGCAGATCGTAAAATTTAAAGGCTGAATAAAAAAAAAAAGGAATTGTAGGAAAAATTAATGAGAAGCAATTGTACCGCGTTATAGAGAAAAATATATTGTCGGAAATAATTAATTAGAATGATAACCATATCATAAAAAATAATCATATCAATGTCGGAAATAATTCATGTTAGTATTGTTCACTCAGAGAGAGAGAGACTCTTAAATATTATGTGTTCACAAGACGGGTCCTTATCATTTTCTTAAGCCTGATTTCATCGGAGATCTCAAGAACCTCGAGAAAGTACCCTACATCCTCTACCTTCCATTGGAACTTTAACTCATTAAAATCGATCTTGCTCACTCAGAACAAGCCCGATTTTGGAAAGGCCGGGGTGATGTGAGGGACGAATAGACCCTTAATAAAGTGTTATTTTAAATTTTAATTATTAAAACATTTCATCATATAAAATCGAGCGTTAGGCTAAAAGCCATAAAAATTATTTCCCACGGAGTTGGTTCCTTGTTGAGGAGGATCCAGCTAGCCAGCGATGTGTCACCCGGAACTTTCGATAGAGTGCCCATATTGGACGCAAGAGCATTAACAACAACCACCTGACCTCGTGGAAAAAACCCAAAAGGAATAACAAGAGAAAACGGAAAAAACACCCGAAGTTAGTCGTCTTCCAACGTCCTTCCACCAAAGTCGTCCTCAAGGATTAATACCGTGACCAAGAATCCAGAATTCAACCCGTGACAAAGATCGTGCCTTTTTAAAGATATCATCCCCAATTCCGTGCCGTCACATCGTAGTGCTCCTATTAACGGACAAGACCCAGAACTATTTTGAGCGAACATTTCATCGGCGTCAACAGTGTCATCATACTACAGATCTGCGACTTAGAAGAAAGGTATTTATCAACACGCGATTCGGTTGTAAACTCTCTCTCTCAACGGCCTAGTATAGTTAAGCCCGATAATATACCCGATATCTCTGTATTGTCTTTGGTTCTTATTAAAATTGTTATTTGTTAGAAAATATGGAATCCGAGTGAGTCACTCCTCGTCTCTCTCCTCACCTCTACTCCGAATCCAATCGCTCACCTGCTACCGCTCGCGTGACGTAACGTCGCAATTTCCGAGTCCTGCGAGACTCGGTAGTGTCAGATACAGGTCTCCTGACGAGGTGTCAAACAGACACCGACCCTACGGTCACAATCTCATTCATCCCGATATAATTCGTTTTCCTTCTTCCTATTTTTACTGTAATAATTTGAAATCTGCCAATGTTTCGAACGAACTTGAGATTCTTCCTTAATGTGTCTTGGATCTGATCGACGTGAAAAGCCAAGATAGTTCGACCCCGGAGATGAAATTTATTGTCGAATTATGGGAAGGCCTTTCAAAAATAATTCCCGAAGACAAAACTGTAGGCGTGTTTACCAACTATAGATATCAGAGAGATACAATAAGAGATATCTTAATGGATAAAATTAAATATAGTCAGGTCATTTCATTGTATTCTTGTGAAGGTTTACGCGACTGTCCAATATTTGATGTCGCTATCGTTTTGTATTCTGCTCCGAACGATGAAGCGAATTATAAAATTCTAAATACATTACTGACACGAGCTAAATCTTCGTTGATTTTATGCGGATATTTTAGTATTATGAGCGAGTACCATTTTTGGGACGGATTAATTGAAGATGCTAAAAGGAGGCAAATTTTATTTCGACTTCCTTCTTCTTACGGTTATTTTGCGTGCGAAATTATCAAAACCAAGAAATAGATTCTTTTCTCGGCCGTTTAATAAAAACTATACAAAACTTCGCTAATTTTTATGAATTTTAAAAGAATTAATAAAATTGTGTATCCTTATTACGAATAAAATCTTTTTATATTATTCTACTCATTCATTATTTTATTGCTAAAATTATTACGTTTGTATTCCAATTTAAATAATTTTTTATATTATTTTATACAGATATATTAATTTAAAATAAGTTGCAATATATTATATTCACAGATATGTTATGGTACTGTACATATATTGAAAAAGATTCAATACAATTGAATAAAAACTCAGTCCACTAACGATGCCATTGCGGGTCATTTGGTTTTCCATAATATCAAGTCGAGGAGAATATTCTCGCAAACAATTTTGGAATAAGTCTTCAGAATTAGTTTCTTTACAAGTCTCCAAATTTTTAACGAATCCTTATCGATTATTAAAAATCATTCGTGGATTCAGGTTATAGTCAGAGGTAAGGAAGGTGGTCAACAGTTCGATTTCTTCTTCGTTTAAATCTTGGATCATTCGTTGAACTTTCACCAACAACGAAATATTTTGTAAATGAAATGACGACAAACTTCTTAAGATACTTTCTTTTCGGGTCTCGTGTAATATTAAAGTCGTTTTCGCCGATTCTGACGGTGTCGGTTTCCGTGCAATAGACTTTCCGATTGGACTCGGCGAAGAAATCGGTTAGGAGGAGAATCTTTTACACAGTTGGACGAATATTGCGCAAACTATTATAATAGAAATAATTAGAAAGCCATGTACAATTCGGGTAGGCAATAATTCCGATTTAGGTGTAACAACGTCTATTCCGATATTAGATTTAGTTGACACCACCAACTCGTCCACGCTTCGTTTCTCGAGTTCTTGTAATTCTTTCCATTTTTTATCTCTCTTCCTTTCCAATTCGAGTTTAAGCCAATCCGTTTGTGTCTTTGATGGGTAATTGGCTGCCGTCATTATTTTCGTCGCTATTTCGGGTGTTACCTTGCCGATATCACCTTTGGTTGATGGACGTGATAACAGTCGATACAAATGCATTAAGTAGTCGTAATCTTCGGAAGATTTTTGAAATTCTTCGGGTCCTCGTCTCGCACGGAACATACTAGCATAATTTTTGCTTATACCTTTTACCTTATACCTTTATACCTTACACTTTTTATACCATAGTAAATATAATCATGCATATGAATATCAATTTTATGCCATTTATTACACATATAATGCTTAGAATAGTTTTAAGAATAAAAATATGTATTACTAGCTGTTACCCGCAACTTCGTCCGCGGAGGTTTTGCAAGCAAATCCCATTTACATTCAATATTTCAATAACCATAGTAATTGTCATATAACACCTACCGCTGAAGAGAATTGCCGAGAATCAAACGAACTATCTTCAATTTGATCAATTTTCTGGAACGTTTACAATCGTTCTATAATCGAACCAATATGCAATAACAAATT